TGACCAGCATGCTGACTCCTTTTCAGTGCAGGGACTATGGCCACAGTCTTGTTTTTCCCTGAAGTATCCTATGGCTGCTGAGAAGTGGGATGCTCCTACTGCATCCCAGCACTTCTCCCATAAAAAGCATGCCCCAACAGGACAATTTTAGAGATGTAAGGCTGAAGTGTGGAGAGATGGGCCATTTGCAGGTGTCAGCTGTTTGAAGGGGGAGCTGCTGTTCAGGGACAAGCAAACTGAGGTGGATGTTTGTGAGAGGAGAAGCTTTTTAATTGGTTTAGCAAAAAAATAACAATTCTGGTGTAAACATCCATTGTACTTAAGACGATGCACGGAGAAGTGAATTGGATGGTAGTAACTACTTGACTGAACAACTGAAACTGGTGGTTGGCATTGTGTTGCTTACGTGAGGGCCCACAGTGTTGTCGTGTGTTGTGTAAGTAGTAACTTTGGTCGTCAGTTTTTTGCAAGGAAGCAGGATGCATATTCATATACTCTTCCTTGAGGGCTGTCTGAGGTTGTTTCATTTTCAGAACTGGTTTTGAGATTCTGAGCAGGTGGTTTGCAAATCTGCCAAGGCTGTGTGTTTCCCATGCTCTGTTGTTCTTGAGACCGGATTGCATTGTTACGATTTTCTTCAGCAGAAAATGTTCACTGTGTATTGTTAATTCCTCTTTCCAGTCTTGTGACAACACAAAGTAGTTCAGCAAGTGCTAATGGTGTTCTGAGAAACTTTAGTTTGCTGCTGCTCTGTAAATCTGATACCTGAAATGGAATGTGATTGGCTGTGTTCAAGGTTAAACCCTTGGGTATGACCATACCTCTGTCATACCCTCAGGGACACTGCAGCCATTTGGAGAGGGTGCTATGCATCCTATTATTGGGATAATTCCATTGCAAAGCAGGAGTCCATACTTAAGATATGTAGTCTGGCAGTGTATTGACTCCTGATTTTGAATGTTTAAAGTTAATAACCTGGATATAACAGACTGCAGTATAGGATAAAGCTATAGTGGATGCTTTTTCTGAAGGTGGACTGGGGGCAAGAGTCTTAATAGTAGCATGAAGCTCTGGGCAGCCCAACTTATACTGAGGCTGTAGCTAGAGTAATATAGAGGTACTACGGGTTTATATCTACCAGGCAGAATACAGAGAGACAATAACAGCATCACAGGGGTAGTGAAAACCACCATAGCTATGAAAAGCATGAAGTGCAAATAAGCCACCCACAAAAGCACCAGTCAAACCCCTTTTCCCAGTGTGCTTTTCCCAATTAGCAACCTGTCTCCTCAGTCTGTGCTGTTACCGGGTTACTTCAGTACAGGAACTTCTTCCTGAAGTATTTTTTTGGGGCAGCCCAGACCTTTAAATTTGTTCTAGTCAACCTGCTGCAGCCCTGTGAAAGGGGTTGTCATTTGTCATAGAGTTATAGAATGGTTTGGGTTGGAAGGGACCTTAAAGATCATCCAGTTCTAAGCCTCCTGCCATGGGCAGGGACACTTTCCACTAAACCAGGTTGCTCCAAGTCCTCTCCAATCTGGCCTTGAATGGTGCCAGGGAGGGGGTTTTAAACAACCTGATGTAGTGGAAGGTGTAACTTACAATTACTGCCTGCTGGTTCATTCTTTGCTCATTAGTAAGCATCCTTCCTGCTATATTCACCTCTACAGGTCTATGTTTTCCTGTTCTACAAAGGAGAGGTTTTGCATTAGTGTGGTAGTAAAGGGCAGCACTGTCAGCTCTGCAAGCATAAAAGCATGTAATTTGTGAGACAAATATAGTGCTTGTTCCTTTTTATTTGCCTTCTGGTTTTGGAACTTCCAAAGTTTGTTCACTTTTTCAAAGTGACCCTGGGGGTCATGGGGATGTTGTTTGGTGTTGGACTTAAATTGAGAGTGTGATTTTATATGTTGTCATGAATCATGTTAAAGCATGATTCTTTGTTAGCTTTCTAACACCGTGTTAACACTCAAAGTGAAATTTAGCCTCTCTGTGTCTGTGTCCCAGGTTCAAGCTTGTCAGTCTCAGCACAACAGGAACTGTATTTGGTCTAACCACTCCCACTTAAATTCCTGTGAATTTCCTCACTGACTTTATTGACAGGAGGATTTGCTCCTGCCTGGTTCATATGAGCTGTGTACGTGGTTTTTAATGGTTATAATATTGTAGCAGATCAGCTTTAGGTTAATGGACTTCGCAAAAGGTGGATTTAAACTACAGTGAGATAAAAGTAGCTATACATTCCACTTGGCATGGTACCTGTAGGTATGAGCAGCCTTGTGTTCTCTGCAGCTTTGGCTCTGCTCCATAGGCAGTTCTGCATTCCCTAGGTCTGCGCCATGGGGCTGAATGTCTGCAAGAGGAAAAGGAGTGTCTTCTGTATGAGAAAAGTCTGTCTTCACAGAAGGAAGAAGTAGCCAGCGAAAGTCTGGTAACAGCCCTGGAGCTTCTTCAGCATATTTTCCACTAGTCCGTGTGAAGCCTTTCTTGATTATCTTGAAGGATACACAAAGCTGTTTTGCTCCAGACTTAAACTAGGACTAGCTAGAAGTGTAGGGTGCTAGTGCTTCCTTGAAAGTGAACTCTGCTCCTTCTGAAGTGACAGTTCAGGACGTAGCACCTACAACCGATGGCATTGTGGCTTTTGTGTTAACAAAACAATCTTCTGTGCTGTGACAGCAAACCTTTGACTGACTATATATTACAAGTAGGAGATTTTGGCAGAAATAAGAATATAAGAACATTCTCATCTTCTTTTAAATACTGTATACCTCTTGCTTTCACCCCAGAACATCAGCAAGAGCCTGCACATATGCATTGAAGCAACCAGAGAAGGAACGCTGAGAGGGCACAGTCCTCCCCTTGTCTTCCAAAATGGCATTTTAGTTTAAAACTGGCTTTTTGAAGAAGTGCTTTGGTTCACCTCACAGAGGTACAACTAAGAGCAGCTGTTTTCACTATACTTTCATCTCTTCTCTACTTCTTCTACTTTTGTGGGTTGTGTGTTTGTTTCAATTACTAAAACAATTTGCCACATACCCCCATCTTGTCCAGCAAAAAGAAGGAAACGCAGGTGTTGTGCATATTAAGACACAAGCTAGTGCTGTGCCTTTTCACCCATGCAGAAGTTGCAGTCCTCTGCTCTCAGGCAGCAGTCCTTGCTACATGTAGTTTACTTGTTCTGATGTTTCTGTAAGACTTTAACGTTCTTCTAAGTCTTAAAGTTGATCTGGTACACAACACAAGTTATTTCTATGCTGTTTCACTTGTTCTGATGTTTCTGTAAGACTTTAATGTTCTAAGTCTTAAAGTTGATCTGGTATGGAACACAAATCATTTCTATGCTGTAAGAAATCAGCAGGTGACTTCATATAATTTAGCTAAACTGAGATTGTCCTAAAGTTTTGACCTAACAGCTCTCCCCAAATCCAGCTGCAAGTAGTGAATGTAAGAGCTACCTGGGACCTGACTTTCAGGATGTTTGACGGTTGTATGAGCCTCACAGGAGAGGGGGTGCTGATAGAAAGAGGGACTATACATATGGACTGATGTGCTTAGTAATTAAAAAATAATCTTTATTATAACTTAAATGTGATAGGAAATATGGTGAGTACAAATGCCACAAAACTAAAAGAAAAAAAATAATTAAAAAAAAAGAATCAGAAGTCAGTACAAAAGGACACCTTGGAAGAATTCAGCTGATGGGAGAAGTGTGGTATAAAAACCGTAACATGGCTATTTTACCTGCTGCAAAAAGAGTCTATCTTCCTCAGTAAACAAGCATTTTGAACTGTACAAAATGTACTTTTTTAATTCAAGGAAGAATATATATTTATAAATATACAGATATGTACACTGTTGTAACATTCACAGTAAAAACAAAAACCTAAACAAAAGGGCCCTGGCCTGCCAAGTGTTTGGCGCACAAGGCTTCCTTTTGATGTGAACTGTTTGCAATCTTTTCTATGTAGCCTATGCAAATTTGGATACTTCAACTGACATCTAAATAGCATTTCATGCATAATGAACACAGTACAGGAACACTCTTCTGTTAAATTCTATTCACCTCCTCTGTTAACTTAACGCTCACAATCAACAGTTTGAAGTACTTACTGTCTTTCATCCTTGCAGTGGGGAGGGGGGGAATGCGTTCACTTCACCCTCTGTTTATTACTGCCTTCTAGGTCCACTTGTTCTAGTTCTTTGTATTGAAATGACTATAAAAAGCTACGATCCACTAATTAGAGTGTATGAAATCCAAGCCTGCCTGCAATTTACAGGAGCAAATGGCTTTGGGGACTCAATTAGCTGTATTCAGTCCTTCCTGGAATAAATAAATGCACTTTACCTTTTCATTTAGTTTTCAGAAACCTACGTGATTGATCCCCCTCACAAATCTGCATTAATAACAGCTTGTAGCTGGAGGGCAAGAGAAAGGAAATAAAAGACCAGTGAAGGCATTTAGAATGAGTCACCAAAGTGACACCTCCCAGGGTTTACATCATGCTGTTTCTGGAGGCAAATCTTGAAGAAACTTGCTCTGTCTTCCATTAATGAGAAGGCCAAGTGGTGGTCCTTGCTGCTGGAGTGTTGGTGGGAACACCAAGAGAAGGCTGCTTTGCTGTCCTGTTCAGGTAGCCTCCGACTTGTCCTTCTTAGGTACAGTATCGCACATCTCAAGCTTTCACGACAACTTCAAGGAAGTAAATGCAATACTCAGTAAAACAGATGAAGATGCCAAATCCTAAAAACTCAAGTTTGTTGAGGCTGAATAACTGTGATTACATCATACATTACTGATCAGTCAGGATAGTTCCTCAGCATCCAGCTGTTCCATCATGAGCTGCAAAGAGGAGCCAATAGGAACCCTTAAGCTGGATTTTAAATGTTGCCTTTCCTTAAGAGGTCTGTAAATTGCTACATTTGAGGGCTTTCTCCTAGAATTCTTCAAAGTCTTCCTTCTGCTCCCCACACTGAAGTGCAGCCTCATCCTATTAATGCCTGTCACGTGTAGGCAGGTGCTTTTCCACCTAAAAAGCTGTGGCAGTTTCAGTTCCACGGCGGCTTCCAACTCTAACAAATTCCCGGGGAAACTTGTCCAGCTGTTCATAGGCCAGTCTCCCATCTTCACCTGGATGCAAAATGTTAACGCATAATAATGTATTATGTCATTGCCCTACAACATTTAAAATACTGGATTCTCTGCTGTTAGGAAGTACTGTTCAGACACTAACTTCTTCCCCTTAAAATTCCTCTTGCTGAAGTCAACTTCAGAAATTAAATGGAAAAGTTAAGCATGCTCTGAATATTCAAATTATTTTATTTTCACATGTAATTTCCTGGTTTTATCTACAGCAAAGCAGACGCAGATGTGACTTGTATGATTAGATGACAGTATCTGTACCCTTGGCTTACTAAATGACCTGTAGTACTTGTCAAGATCTCAGTTGCAGCTGTGATATACTTGAGGGAGATGATGTTTATCTACTTCTACTTTGGACAGTATAAAGCTTACCCAATTCTCACTTCCTAACACTTTAAATAAGTGAGTCTAGCCACTTCTTCACTTTTACCACTGAAAACCAAGAAGCAGTCTATTTGCTAAATTTAACTATTTGTGTCTCTCACATTTGTTTTCTCTTAGGCACTGTCATCTCTGTGTACCTCAAGATAGAATTGAGCCTAGTGTGCTGAGCTGGCCATTAGGAACCAAAATGCTCTCTCTGTTTTGTCTACAGATCTCCCAGAGATTTCAGAAGTGTCCCTGCGCTAGTTGTTTTATAAAGTGAGCACTGACACGTCCAACAGCAGAGTGAATTCCTGCTGAACTGGTGAATGAAAGTATATTTGAAGGGCTTGCATAACTAAAATCACAGATGGGCACGCACATGGAGTAGAAATTCTTGCCTGATATAAAGGCCATTAAAATACAACTTTACTGCCCTGAAACTACTGGTTTGAGTACGGATGCCCTGAAACTGTGCGGCCTTGCTTGCAGTCACACACTGCTATGCAGCTAGATTACAGATTAATGAACAGGGTATCTCTTGTCTCAAGGACAAATGAGGGTCAATGCAAGGTGCCTGAGTTATGGTGTAAAGGACTTGCAGGCTAGGGTCTGCCCAAATAAGCATATAAATGAACACTTGGCAGTGCTGATGGCATTTGGGCGTGTGACTGTGGCACTACAAGGGTGATTGATAGGAGGGGATCTCCAAGAGGGGTTTTATGAGATGCAGCAGGCAGTCTGCTCATCCTGCATCCTCAATGCTGCTTGGTTTTCAAATTAATTATGAATTATTTCTGTTTGTCAATTTCTCCTTTGCTGTTTTTAATTTTCTGCTTCATCCTCCAGGCTCACACAATTCAATTGCTCTTTCTGGCTCATTTTCATGGTTTTCAAAATTAATGATATTTAAGAATATATATTTTTTTAGCCTGTTCGAGTTTCTAGGTAAAGCTTTGTTTCAATTTAGAGTCTTATGCTTGCATAACTTAGGTATCTTACATACTGCTTTGTCAAAAAAGAAAATTAATACTGCTCTAAACCAGGCAACTCACCAAGGGCAAGCAGGGTTTCGGACGCCACTTTTCTGATCTCTTCATTGTCAGACTGACAGAGTGTGACCAGCATTTTAATACTCTCAGTAGCCTGGGAAGTGCAAAAGATAAGATAAACTTTGTCATCATCACAGAGCCCGGCTGTTTTTGCCATGAAGCTTCTTAACTGTTCCCAGACAGTACAGTATCTGTAAAAGGAAGCAGTGCAGCAATGCAAAACAAAAACACTATTGCTGCTGCTGTTGCAATTCCTATTTTGCTGTTTGTACCTCTCAGATACTCTTTCTTTAAAGTAAAGCCAAGAACCACAATGAATTCATTGTCTCTTACCTTCAGGAACCTTAAAGCCAAGCAAGCTGCTTTCTGCAGCTGGAGGTTGGGCTGGGTTAGTGCTTCACAGTAATAAATCAAGGCCTGAAAAAAGATAGAGTAATGATGAAAATGTCTGTGTCTCTATGGAGCAGAAGGAGTGTGGAGGCATTGCTGCCCTGCTAAAGGGAGAGGGATTGCTGAAGTGAGCACATGGGATGGAGAAGCACAGCCCCTGCTACAGGTAATATGGTGGGATAATTCCCTACAGCAGATAGGGAATTGCCTGCAGACCAGGCCACTAGTTATTGCTTAGTAATCTCAGGCCAGCTTTTGGTGAGGAACAGTTCATGTGAAAGCAAGAAGCACAGTCTGGCATGCTTGAGAGCCTTTCCATATAAATTGCCAAAGAGCTTTAAATGGGCCTTGGAGTCTAAATAGCTCAAGACCTGACCCTTGAGATGGTCTCTCTAATGCAGAGGTAGTAATGAACAGTCTGGGATGGACCCTAGGGGGACTGCAGGTATCTATTATAAGGTTAGCATGAGCTGCTAGACCACTTTACTGTGTGGCCCTAGAAATCAGTAGCTACTGCTGAGCAAACAAACCAGTGTGAGCAGCAAATCTCAGCAGCAGTTGGCTGCACAATGAATTCAACTGCAGCATAAGGCTACATAATGCCCTCACACAAGGCACCTTGTGGTTCTTCCTGCAGACAGTGAACTAGGTATCACCTACACATGCCATATCTGTGACAGATCTCAAAGCTGAGCTGTGTCTGCCCAAGGTAGTCCATCCCTCCCAGAAATGGTGGGAGGTCTCATAGATGCCTCTTTTGGAAAAAAAAATACAGAAATCCCAGACCTAATTCTTTGCATGTTGGTGATGCTGAGGACTATTGCCTTGAAGCCTTGGGCTGAAGCCAAGTCTGAGACAGGCCAGCAGAAATGCTTAAGTGTGGAAGATACCTGGAGAGCACAGCAGTCAGTAAGTACCTCAGTTTTGGTTAGTACCTGTTTAGTGTAATGACAGGTAGAAGCAGACTGGTGTAATGACGAAAACAGACCTGCATATTTGCAGAAAAATTAGATGGGAAATCCCCCTGGGTAAGTTTAAATCAAGCTTGGAGCAATTACTTTATATGTGTAGACATTTGAGACACATAGGCAGAAAAAACGTCACGACGATACAGGTCTCTTATGTGACAGGTGATTTTCTGCCACTTACCTTCTCCCTGAAGTGCCTGTTTTCTGCAGTAGCTGTCAGAAGTGATGCCACAGTCTCACTGACTTCATTTTTATTTTCATTGAGAAGTAAAGCCAAAGCTCTCAAAACTTCTTGCTGTGGTGGAAGGTTATTGGAGTTTATTTTGGCCACGTTTTGCTGCAGTTTTCCATCTTTCACTGACTGCAGCACCTGAACCACAGAGGCTACAAGTGCAGGAGAAAGGTCCTTGTTATTTATTTTATCCTTTCAATATCCCAGATTTCCCTGCCAGCAATCCTCAATTTATACTATGCAGACAAAGTACATGAAAAAATCCCCCTCTGAGTAACTGCAGTATTGCAGTGTCTGCAGGGGGAAGGAATTGTTTGGGCTGTAAATTGTGCTGGTTTCCCACCTGTTTTTCCAAAGGAGATGAATAGATGGGCTAGGTGGGACACTGCAGCATTTAACGCCTACTCTGAGCTAAGGGCCTACCTGTCAATCTTCACTTTCTGCTTGAAGATGCAAATCCTCTCCGTAACAAGTGAAACCCACATCCTTGTCAGGGTAGTGACTTCCTGAGCATCTTTATGAGAGCTTTTCCTAGGCAGATTGATGTCCATCACCCAGAGCCATGTCTAATTGTTCCAGAGGAGGGCTGAAATACCTTTTTACTTCCAGGTTTTTGAGTAAAACTCCCCAGTAAGCCCAAATAATAATGAAAAACTAGGCAAGGTTCCTCCAGTTCCCTCTCAGAGAAGAAAACTTGGCACACCAGGGAATGCAGTGTAGAACACTCTAGATGCTCTGTGAAGCATCTGCTTCTCTTTAGCTCTCAATGGCAGAGCCTGTCAAACACTGAACTGCTGTGATACCTTGGCTCCTGAGAATCACTCAGGTGTCTTCATTAAGGATAGTGAAAAACTGGAATGTCATCCAGTCATCCAGGCAGGCACAGAAAACCTCCCAGCCCACCACCATCAGTCATTTCCAAAAAACTAACTTTCAACATAGTTTTTCCCATTTGAATATGGAAATGGAAATAACTGAGGAAGCATCTCCATCAGCTCCTTTCTTTCAGTGGGTTCAGGTGCATTTGGACCTGCTATCCAAGGCACTTCCTTGACTCTTTTGCCCCCTTCTTTTGTAAAATTAGCTTCTGGGCTGAACTGTTTTGAGCTGAACTCAGACACCAATGGACTCCCCTGTTAGCCACCAGAATTTATATATCCTACCTTCTTTTGCGAGCTGCAGCAAATAGCTTCCAAGGTCATTAACACTGTGGCTGGCAAAATAGTTGTAATACTGGAAGACGGTAATGATCTCAGAGGACATGCTGGAGTAGAGGACAGGCTCCGTCCGATCCAGGATCTGAGACACCAGGATCCTGAAGACTGCAGGCAGTCATGGACATAGGGAGATATCAGTGAGGGAAAACAGCTGCTGGCAAAATGCTGCAGTCTACTTTAAAGCCAGAAAGAAAGAACCATATTTGCAAAGCCAGATACATCCCAATGTTTCTAACCACAGCTGTGGCTAGGTTACAAGCTAGACAGACCTTCTCCCTGCCTAGCTCTTATCACCAGAGGATATCTTTGTAAGGACGAACCTCTGCCAGTTTACTGATGGCTAATGCAGATTTCTATCCCATCAATACAGTATTCTTTCTACCCGAATGATATCCTGAATCACTAAACACGTATCCACATGCACTGTCAATTACGACTCTGCGATGCTACTGTACTTCACTGAGATGCTCACAGAGACAGGATTTGGCTTTTGGCTTTGCTTGTTTTTATGTTCCTGCGTGAGCATGTGGCATGAAGAAAACTAGTCTGAGGCACTGTCTGTGAGAACTGTAGCATGGAGGAGGAAGGAAAACAGTACTCTGGGTAGGCTTCTGCAGTGCAGGTGCTCACTCCTGAGCAAGTCACCCCGCTTCCCTGTTCTGTCCCACAGACATCTAGTTTTCAGATAAACTCACTCGAATGTGTATGAATTTCATCCCCAGTGCACTGTAATGGGGCATGGACGTTATACAGACACATAAAATTACGTGTGAGGATTTGTACTTCAGCTTGTACTTTGGAATAAACTTACTTTCCAGTTAGCTCATAAACATCATTAGATCATAAACATCACTCTATTTTCTTTTCTGCTGACCTCACCTTTTTCCCCTATTCTGATCTCACTATTTGGGGCCAAAACTGTTTTAAGAGTTGTAGCATTAGACTTAAAATACAATCTTGAAGCTGTGACGAAACAGACCTCAAAGGGTTTGGAAAACAAAGCAATGAAGGTCAAATGAAGGTCAAAGTACACAACTGTTCTCCATTTTGATAACTGACACTTTTTTTTTTCTGCAGTAGTTGGTACCTGTTTCTGCAAGTCCTGGACACTCCTCATTCACAGTGGTGGCAAAATTGGTATCCAGCTGCTTCATCATCTTGTCTGCAGATGTGTGATACACTCCTGAAGGGCCAGTACACTTCATCCAGAAAGCCAGCAATGATAGCTTCTTGTGGAACTCTGGAATTGCTGGAGGAGAAGGCAATATGAACAATGAAACAAAGCAATGCTAGAAGCATCAACTTCCAGAAGAGAAAAGATGGTAAGAGCAAAAGAAACCTCACCTACTGATAGACAGTTACTGTTTAGTGTGTCGCCTTGTGCCATTACCTCTACAGAGTGTGATTATGTGCTCATCCCAAGTTTGTGCCATACTTTTTCTGTTTCCCATAGCAGGATGTGAGAAAATTTGCTCCTGATCCAGCTCTGGGCATTCACGTCTCTTCCTTTTAAATACCACAAAACACTAGGAAATACCACAAATGTTCTGCACGAGACTGGTCCCTTCCTAGCACTGCTTTGTGGCCTTGGGTAAGTCACTCAACCTTGCCTCAATTTTCTGATAAACAAAGTAAATACACCATGTTGTATTTATGTAACATGGCAGAATGCTCACAAGGGTAACTATGTGCTTGTCAAATACTTCCAAGGTATTAAAATAGATGCATCAACAGGAAAAAATAACTAAATAATTCTCCATAAAGATGGCAAAATAAAATTGATAAAATGTTCAAGAAGTTGTATTATGCCTCCCATAGTTATAAGGCAGATCCTGTCTTCCCTTGGGAAAGAGGAAAGAGAGGTGGAGGAAGAATTTGGCTCTTCAGAGGTGGCAGCATCCCCACTCTATCACAGTGGTGGTGGACCTCTGTCCGTATTCTACACAAGCAGGATAAGAAGTCCTTTCTCTTCTCAGTTGCTTGGTTTTGGATACCAGAGCTGAAGACGGTATAAGGTCCCTGACCTGCTGTGGCGACTGCTACATCTGCTGGTAAGTCATGAGTTGGCCCTTATTACGGTGACATCTCCTCCAGTGATGGTGAGCTCTGCACAGCGCTCATTTCAGCAGGCATGCATGCCCAAACAAACCATTTTCAGAAGGACACCCCCTAAATTGTCTCTTACCATCAGTAAGGGAGGTGATGTTTCCCAGGTTCTCACTGCTGATCTCCGCGATATTCTCCATCACGAGGATCTGCCTGGACAGCTTATCCAGGAGGTCTCTTGCCACAAAAGGTGTTTTACTGGAGAACACAATTTGCTGGTGGAGACAAATGGGGAGAGAGGAGAAGGAGTCAACCTCAGAAGAAAAAACAACTGGCAACTGAAGTGCAATAGCAAGTTCACTGCCCTGGAACCATGGCGTCTCCTTAACTTTGACAGTTATTTTTCTCTGGGATATTGTATGGTCATGGCTGATATGCATTCTTGCTTATATCTCATATAACACCTACATCCAGACCCAGACACTTGATTATCCAGGCAGCCATTTGCATATGTAATTTCTGATTTACGCACTCTGCAAAGCTAAAGGAATCTATCATCATAAGCCTTAAAGCCAGAACAGAGTATTAATCTGACTTTCACATAATATATGCTGCGGACTTACCTGCCTGGGGGCACACCAATGGTTGCTCTTTCTCCACTCCATTTCAGCTCTGATGAACTACTCGGGTGCCTTTATGAATTTGGTGCTTTCTCCCTGCTGCTGACATCTTCACGTCATTGTTCAGCAGTCCACATAAATATTGTTCATGTCCAATCTGCTCCATGTGTGGACAATAGCTTGAGCTCACCTCCCCTAGCTGCATATGTACTGTGTACTCTTGTATTTAAACCAAAACCCTCCCTTTTTCTCATACTTGTGAGTCAGCAGTGTCCAGCTCAGTACTAAAGGTAATGGAATTTGGCTTGCTCTCTATTGCTTCAGTGGGCCTCTGGGAAAATAAAGCTAATTATATCTACGATGGAAGAGCCAAATAATCACAAAGGGGAAGTTGCTGTATGTTTTGATTCCCAGGGAAACCCTGAAGCCCTTGCTTGCTGGAGGTTTAAAATCACATTTCCTGTGCTCAGGTTCCGAAAAAAAGAACGGCTCTAAAACGTTGTGCTAGTTAGCTGTGAGCATGAACAGACAATTTTGATGTCTGCCATGTGTCAGGGGGTTGTCATGTGCTGCCTTCACTGCATCTGTTGCAGACAGTCCACCTCACTTGCACAAATTCATTTCTGCTCTTGAACATGGAGGCCTTGTCTCAGTGGGGCCACAAGCTTCTGGTTTACCACTGAAGACATGGGCTGCTGTAACCAGCGGCCTATTTCGTTAGGACCTCCTGGTGAAGCCAGTGGACATTTGTAACCCAGAGCAGGGCCTGCCCTGCCAGGATGGAAATCATAGAAGCATAGAATGATTTGGGTTGGAAGGGTCCTTAAAGATCATCTAGTTCTCACTCCCCTGCCATGAGCGGGGACACCTTCTGCTAGACCAGGTTGCTCCAAGCCCTGTCCAGCCTGGCCTTGAACACTGCCAAGGATGGGGCACCCACAGCTTCTCTGGGCACCCTGTGCCAGTGCCCCACCACCGTCATAGTGGAGAATTTCTTCCCAATATCTAATCCCAGTTTCCCCTCTCTCAGTTTAAATCCATTCCTCTTGTCCTATCACTACATGCCCCTGTAAAAAGACCCACTCCAGCTGGTTGAAGGTGAAGGGTGTCACTGCCCTACCCCACACAGCTGCTGTCGCTGTGCTCACACTGCCTCCCAGGAGCAGCACAGACCCTGCTCGTACCCCACGTTACAGGCACACACCGGTGCCTGCAGGAAAACCCCACATTTCCCCAGAGGAGCTGTGCCGGTACCTGGATGAGCTGCGTGCAGTACTGCAGGTGCTTAACTATGGTGACATCCAGGCTGTCGTTCCCCGTGGTCAGCGGCAGGGGGCTGCCGGCCACGCTGGTGCCCACGCCAGTGTCCTCGGTGAGAGCTTCGCTCAGGTGTCCTCTGGCTTCCGGGTGCTCCGTCCTGTAACTGGGGAGGACGAAGGGAGGAAGGGTCAGTGCAGGGCCAGGCACGGCCGTGGCACACACACACAGACACGCTCACTCGGGGAGAAGCAAGCAGCAATGCTGGAAGCAGCCACATCATACCGCGAAGGGGCAGCGCCGCCTGGCCGGGAGCCGGAGGGCCGTACCCACCGAGGGGACGGCTCTCTGGGCCCTGACTGGTTTTCCCTGAGCGATGCAATGCCCTGAACAGCAGCCCTTTTTAACCTGCAGGCACTGTCGCTTGGTGGTGACAGCTTCCTCTCAGCTGTCGGTGAATCGCCTCCCCAGTCAAGGTGGATTAAGCACCGTTCGTGCCATCCCGAGCACCGAGCTGCTAAGAACAGCTCTGTGCTTCCCTTGTCCTCCTGCTACCAAACCTAGTGCTCGTTGCAGAAGGAAAGGAAATCCACTGCTGGAGTCAGAGACATGATGTTTTCATAGGCTGTTTCAGGCAGAATTTGTACAGCTTGCTTTGCTAATTGTTTCTGTAAGAGCGTAAAGCTGGCCTCACTGTGTTTTAAATCCTTATATCCAACATTGTCTTGTACGAATGTGTTTAAACACAAAGCCTGAGGTCAGCCTCCAGATGGCAAGTGTATTTGGCTGCAAGTTCAGAAGTTTCAGCACTTGCAATCTTTACACTGAGTCACACACTTACACATCTAAAAATGGAAGCAGGAATCTACACTGTCTGGGGATGAGCCAGAGGGGAAAAAAAGAAAATGTAACTTCTACTTTCGCTTAAGGGATTTGAGTTGCTTTCCGAGTTAGCTTGTAACTGACTTACATTTTTGCTGCCTAATTTCAATTCATGCTAAAGCGCCTGGTTAAAGCCGGATCCTTAAATCAACACAGGCTGAATGAGCTCAGTGCCATTTCAGCAACGCCATTTTCCAAGTTTGTCTTCCCACCAAGTCATATTCTGGAGAAAAAGATACTCAGTGTGGTGGTGGGAACTGCACGGTGGCTGCTTGTTTGCACTCAAAATCCTTTTAAACAGGCCACAATAAGCTGCAAGAAGCATTGCTCCCTGGCTGGGAAGCAAGGGGTGCCAGGGAGCCATGTTCTTTTCTTTTTTTCCAGCTCTAGCACTGCTTATATGCCTGTTGGGCATTGTGTCAGCTGCAAGGATGCAAACATGCTTTTAGGATCTAATGACTGAAACACAGCATCTTAAGGTCACACAACAATGACAGACCACGGCACAAACACCACAGCTATTTCTTTTTGTTTTTTTCTTCTCAGAAAGACCAAAAGTGATGAAAGAAGGGCAGGTAACACGCAGGGCCATGAACAGAGTACCAGTCATCACTCTTACATTCCAAAGGAAACCTACACCATGCTGCTTAAATCTGGCCCTGTGTTATTGTTACTGACAAGCTTAATCCACTGCAAAGACTCATTCGGCTAGAGAGAAAAGACAAAGGGAGGGGGGAAAAACCACAGAGGAATTAGTAATTGCATCCAAGGAAAGCCAGGTCCAAACCTATGTCAAGGAAGAGGCTCTGCCAGTATTGATGTCAGCTTAATTTAATTTAACCTTCTCCTTTGGAGGGCAGATTGCATATATTTCAACAGGGAAAAAAAATGATCCTGGAAGCTAAAGATTTTGTATGCAGCAGCCACAGGGAACCCTCTGACCCTATGAACTCATCAAGGATTACTCAAGTCTTCCTTGAATAATGTGTGCACCGGGATCCCCTGTTAGCGACAAAGAGCTAGGGTATCAGTTTGGCGTAAGCACAACTGGCAGTTACTACAAACTTACCTATTCTTCTCAATCTCAGTATCTGAAAATACTGAGTCTGCACCTCCTCCACCATTACAAACCTCCACACCACCACCATCCTCATCATCAAAGTCAGAGGTGTTCAGGAAATCAAAGCTCTCTAAAGCACTTTCAACTGTTAGACTTAAACTGGAGGACCTGCTTCGGCTTACTGCTGGCTTGCACTGCAAAGGCAGAACGAACCAATGAAAACCCCAGATATTAGCTACTACTGAAAGAAAAGAAAAAAAAAAGAATAAAGCTTAAAACTTTCAAATTCTTCATTTTATTTTTTAAACTTCATTTTATTGGGTGTTTCATTTCAAACCTTCATATTCATAGCACATACAATCAAAGCCTGAGAACTGGAAAACCCCTTCCATTCCTCCTCCCCTCCCCATCCTACCCACTTTCCTCCCCAGAGCAAAACCCTTAAGGGCAAAATTTGATGTATTTTATAGAAATGAGGAGTACAGCTTGAACCCAAGTGACTCAGCTTTCAGTGTTCTCCGAGAGGAGAGACAGCAATTAACACGGCGGAAGTTGAAAGGGGAGGGCATATTCTGTAATTACTGTTCTCCAGCTACAGAAGCCAATTTCTAGATGTCCGATGGCGTTGGGATTTATTCCAGATGTAACTCCAACAGACCTTAATCAGGAGTAAACA